GTTAGTCTGACCTGTTACAGATTCAGAATGGAACAAGGTTCGTAAGGTGCCCACAGTCCCGGTGCTCTTGAGTGTGGTAAATTCAAGGACATTCTTCAACCCGCTTTGATTCATCAGCTTGCGTCAGTTTTTTCCACAAAGGGCTCCCACCCAATTGGCTCGCGCTCCACTGATGCGCTCTGATTTCTCTCAAGGGGAGCGGCAACGCGAACCAAACAGGTGCAATTGAAGGATCCCTTCCCAAAGGACAGGACTAGGGACTGCGTGTATAAAAATAATTGCAACGATTACACTAAAGTTTACATAGGACAAACTGCCAGGGAATTGCACACCAGAATTGGTGAGCATAAAAGAAGGATAAACAAATCACCGAGGACTGCAGAAGAATATCAAACGCTGGTCAAAGACTCAGCGATGGCGGTACATGCCTTAGACACGGGACATAGAATAGATCTGGAGAATGTGGAAGTTTTAAGACGGGGACTGCGATTCACCCCACAGCGGCTGATAACCGAGGTGGTGGGAAGTACTAAGCATCACAGCGTGAATAGAATCGAGGGTGTGGAGCTAGCGAGCGTATGGAGAGCGGTCTTAGATAAGCCGAGTTGACACGTGACTGTGTGGTGGTCAATCCACGTAGAATTATTAGCAAAAACTGTGAAGTGGGAGTGGAAATCCCAACCCAACCGAAGGTCACAATATCCCTGTTATACAACTATCTTAGCACTAGCTCACCCATACAAACTGACAGAAGGTTCAAACGAAGTTCAAGGGGGGACCATCAAATGAACCTAACCAGAAGAACTAGACCCTTGACTGGACACAAACACATGTAGGTTTTTCCATCGAACCAACACCTGTTCAACCACCCTAACACACAAAAATCCCCCGGCGGACACCCAACAGAGATTTAGCTTGACTTAGCTGATTGGTTCTCCTTCCGCCTTAAATCTCGACCAACGTCGGAACCTAGTCACCTGGCCCGAAAAAGCTTTTGTGTCAAAAGCGAAACGTTCGAAAACGATGACTACTCAGTCGGTTCCAAGTATTTTTACCTAACTGGCTAGGTCATTTAGAGCTTCCGTAAAGCAAAGAGTTGTAGATTCCTTCGAGAATCATTTGGGCGGGTGAACAACCGTTCATCAATAGATGGTCCTGTCGATAGACACACGCATGTCTGCTCCCGTCAGTTACGCCATTCCGCTAATTGTCAATTCTCTGTTACTCTAGATTTGGATGTTGTCTCCGAAGAACACACTGCACATGTCATCAGTGAGCTGGCACTCGGAGTTTTAGCGTCACTGAGACAAGGACGCTTTCGAGAGTTAGGCCAGAAGTAATGTTAGTAATCAACACTATCCAAGGTCACTTTCACATCAGCGAATACATCAGTACCCAGAAAAGGTACCTGGTATTTCACGCCATCCTGACGCATTCACGTCGATGACCATCCTTTACTCAACTCACAGCTCTGCGAGCGCGTTGAAGGACTCGTCTTCTTTTCAACGAGGCAATATAACCGTTAGGACGAGATTCATACTGGTGTGCCAGTTCGTTTGGTCCCGTATTGTCCGATGTTGAGCGGCTCGATTGCACTTCGTCCGACAGTCGTACATATGAAACGCCAATTCAGTCGCAGCGAACGCGCAACGAGTCAGTTTGTGTGCGTGTCCGGAGGTCAGCCGCCCTTACTGACCGAAAATCACATTGACTGCATGGATGTGTCACGTGCAGGCTATGGACTAAACGAAGCCATGCCTTGATTGGTTAGAATATCAGCCAATCCGGATCGAACATTCATGACTCGACGCTTTTCGCCTCTGGCGTCACCTTGTGGAACAATCTGTGATGATCCTACAGTTGTAGTAATCTCCCATCGTCTCCATAAACGGCTCTCTCAAGCTACCGCGCCGACTGATATGCCATAGTGGCAGGGCAGGAAGCCAAGGACCGACGCAGAGTTGAACCAACAATACACAACAAGTGGCGAAAATCCGAACCCATGATGTCAATTTCGGCAGAGCAACTCCAATTAATTTTATAGCAGCAACAGAAGCAGTTCGAAGAAGCCCAAATGAGACTTGTTGAACCTCTGATGCGCAGTATGTCGGTGAATGCGACAAGAAGAGCTGGGCCTCCGTCTTCTTCAACAAACGGTGTTGCCAGCTCGACGCTGAATCTGGACGAACTTTCGGAAGTTGGTTGAAGAAATACGAGGACATGTTTCAAACCGACCTTGCTCAGTTTGATGACGCATCGAAAGTTCGACTGTTGCTGTGCAAACTGGGGACAGCTAAACATGATCGGTTCAGAAATTTCATACTCCCCAAACTCCATCGTGACCGCGGTTTCGCAGATGCTGTTAAAATCCTGGCCAAAATATTCGGTGAGTAAAGTTCCTTGCTCAATATTCGTTATCAGTGTCTCAAGATTACCAAAAGGGATAGTGAAGATTTCATCACTTATGCCGGTGTGGTCAACAGAGAATGCGCGAGCACTTGCAGCTCAGCTTCATGGCCGAAGGTCAATTCGTGTGTCTCATCTTCGTGGATGGTTTCCAATCACCAAATGATGCAGATATTCGGATCCGGCTACTGAATCGAATTGATCAGGAACCAGAGTTGATGCTTGAGAAACTTACCTCCGAATATCAGCATATAGTCAATCTCAAGGCTTATGCTGCGATGATTCGGCATTCNCCTCGTGGCTGGTCTTCGATCTCCACACGATGCAGATATTCGGACCCGGCTACTGAATCGAATCGAACAGGATCCAGAGTTGACGCTTCAGAAACTTGCCACCGAGTGCCAGTATATTGTCAATCTCAAGACTGATGCTGCAATGACATTCCAAATGGACATTCCAAATTCTTTCAGCCTGATATGGCATGCAAAGTAACTCCCAAAAAGAAACTAAATTCTAAGCGAACTCCAAGAAAACCACCCACGCCTTGTTGGTTTTGTGAAGAATGGCACTATTCACGCCACAGGTGCAGTCGAAGGGGTCACAAAGAAGAATGTTGCGGAGGCAACTTCAGGAGATCGCGCAAACATCGACGCGACAAAAGGAGACAGGGAGGGGACGTGACCGGATGAACTCACCCGATCGACGAAAATGCGCTACAATGGCACACCGGTCACCCTGCAACTTGATGCAGGTTCTGACCTGACTCTGATTTCAAAACAAAACTTGGACGTAATTGGAAGACCGCCAGTGGAATACACACAGTGCACCGTTTGTAATTCATTTGGTGGAAGCCTCAAGCTGACCGGAAAGCTGAAATGCTTCGTAACTATCGGGGGGATTCAACCCAGTGATGCTTGCTGCCTCACGAACTATACAGGTCTTGATCTATTGGGCATGAGCTTCAGCTCTCGGACGAACCCCTCAATACCGTTTGTAACGAAACAACTGGAGATGGTTGCAACGCGTTCACGAGAACACCACCACAATTACAGCCAAACCGGAGACCGAAGGGAGCATATGAAACGCAGCGGCTACTCAGCTCCTGGCGTCCGGCACCGGTAGCCCTCTCACTTCAGTCAATTTCGGTGAATCCTCCTAGCAGCCTGAAACGTTGTACCCGCGGTCTGAACCCTTCAGTTTACAGTTCTGGGTTCATGAGGATCGTTCCACTGCTATCCGGAAAGTCAAAAAGGGCGCCGGCAGAAGGGACGAATAAAAAATCACACAGAGGCCAGATACTGATTTCAGGATATGGAAGAAGCTCTCCACGGTGCACGCAGGGTCGAATAATGCGTCAAGCACGAGGCACAAATCAGATCACAGACACGGCCATTTAAAGGGAACTAACTTCGGACAACTGACTGTGGCTCCGTAAGAGAACCAGCCGTGATACACCTCCGAAGTGCAGGGGACCAGATCCCATATCGGCATGCTTACAGCCTCAGAGACGGACCGACATGCGACCGCACCTCGTTGAGTCATCACAGCTGAGTTCAAAGCAGCAGACGGTTGAAGAGCATCCTCAAGGGGGAGGTGTCCGGAGGCCAGCCGCTCCTGAACATCACGTTAATTGGACGGATGTGCCAAGTGTGGGCTACTGATAAAACGAAGGCATGTCTTGATTGGTCAGAATGTAAGCCAATTTAGATAGAGCATCTTTAGGTCGACGCGTCTAGCCTCCTGACGAGTATTCTGGCGCCACCCTAGGGGAACATTATGTGATTACCCTATAAATACAGTTGTAATAGTCTTCCCTTGTCTTCAAAAAGCGCCATCTGAAGCCACCGTGTATGATAGTGGAGGGACCAGGAAACCAAGGACCGACATAGAAGCTGCAGCACTATCAGCAAGACGTAACAGCCTATTGATCTACTGGAATTTCCCTTCATTCGATTCCTGTTCGAGATGGCGTCGTTTATAGTGTGGAAAACAGAACATCCATACTGTGTTTTTTCTAGCAACACATCCTCAGTTCGCCGGGAACTGGTAAAAATGCACAGGGAGTTTGACCCACTTGTGAACGACATTGTGCAGGGTCAGGCACCCGGTCGCGTGCACGTACCGGTTGCATAATTATTCCTAACCCCCAATGAATTGGCCAAACCACTGTCACACGAAGATCAATAATTTATGGTCGTTAAACTAGGCTAAAGACGAATGATCGCCTTTTCACTACGTGCATTACGTCGAGTGTTCATTTCGAGAGGCCTTGTATGTTTCTGTTAATCTTCGTCTGACTTGACGGATTAGGTGTGTGTGTGTGTGGGGGGGGAACTTTATTCCGTCAAAAAAATATAAAACAATTGTTATTTACTAGGGAAATGTTGACGGGACGGACGAAAATCAAGGACTGTGGAACTCCAAGCCAGCGCCTCAAATCGTACGCTATTTCCGAGATCCTACTGGCTGTAGTTGTGAATGTCTCCTGTGAGACTGTAACAAACAGTATAAGCATGTTGTTTCTTCATACCACCGAATTATCAGAAGGCACCGCGAGTTTGAAAACAAGTTTTCTTCATAAAACGCAATGTGGACAGTTATATTCCGAACTTGAGCAAGTTTGTGATCGCAAAAAAGAGAGATCAAATATTATCACAGTTGGGAGGAAGGCAAATGGGTCGATCGAACACCTGCCACCTGGGGAGAGGGAGACAGGCAGGGTGCTGGGCAGTTTCCGACTAGGAGGTGCTGGTTGCGGATGGCAGAAAAATCACCGAGGCCAAGAGTAGCCACATGTGTAAAAGTATAAAATAGACCAGGAAGATCATACGTGTTAGGGGCCAACGTCGAAACACGTTTGTGACCCGGACAGCAGCAGAATCCAAGAATGATGCGACCGGATGTAACGGTCGCGGAATGACTGAGTTCTGTGGGTGGGTGGGGGGCAAGGCATGGAAACAAATCATTAGTAAAGGCATGAGCAAACTAAGGGATTAACATCTTGAAATTGTTGATCGATTTGAGAATATTCGCACCGAATGAAGATTGGGCTTCGTGTGGAATATTTGCTGTGGTTGGATAATGGTGGGATAACACAACGTTCATATACCGATGGGCGACGTTTGGCTAACTTATTACGCTGCCTAGGAGTGACAAGACAACTTGCAATGACAGCCCGAAAAAGTGCATTACTGATAAATGTCCGACTACAACAAACGAGCGCTATTCAACCTGCAGCTTAAGCGGCACAGAAGTACAGACTGCTGTGATATCATCAAGTGTGGAACCCAGCGTATTCGGCTGACCGTACAGGTGCTCGATTCGCTACTGCAATCGGTCGAATGTTACGGAATGCACTAACCATGCATCTGTCACTAAGAGAGCCAATGGCTACACACGCTCCACCGAAATACAAGAAGTTAAGCGCAGCTGGCTAAACTACATGAACATCGAGCTGATTTGTCAGAAGACCAGTTTTTATTATCCGAAAAGAGTTTATTTACTCGGGCCGAGCCGTCACCTGAGGCCTATAGTATGCGCTTTCCAGTGCCGCAGCTTAAAAGTACAGGCTGCCTGGCCCAAAAAGGGCACGCCACGGCCTTCAGTCAGATGAAGTTACCGCCGTCCAGATGTACGAGCGGCAAACGATAAGCTATTAAAATATGAATACCGAGGATGACAGGTGTGTCAAGCGCAAAACTTGTGTGGTTTGGTGTGAAGGGCAGAGGGATTTTGATTCCCAAAAGATGGCGAAGCCCAATCAACTGGAGGAAGTTTGGAACCGATTGAGAAGTCATCGTTTCAGAAGGGCTTGGTAAACAATCGGTGGTTTTATAACTGAACAACGTTTCGCATTTCACACAAAAGCACTGGTGCAATGATGGGATCGCCTCCCGCCGACTGTGTCTACAAAACTGAATACAATGAATGCACTAAGGTCTATACAGGACAGATGGATAGAGAGCTTCAAACCAGAATCGGTGAGCTCAAGAGGAAACTCCACCGAGAAAGGCAGGTGAATATCGAGCGGTACTGAAAGGCTCGGCCATAGCGAGATATGAATTAGGCACGGGACAAAAAATAGTTGAGGTTTTGAGGCGAGGACTACGGTCCACTTCACAGAGACTGGTGGTCGAGGCGGTAACACTCGCCAAGCATTCCAGTTTGGATAGAATGGAAGGAGGGGCGAGATGGCTCAGTGGTTAGAGCGCTAATTTACTGAACAGACGGCACGTGGTTCGAATCTGACCTCTGCCTCTCGACTTCCCCTGTCTAGGTTTGGGTAACCTGTCAGTACCCCAGCCCTCGTGTTTCCTTAAGGTGGCAGGGCAATTGGACACCGAGTGTCATTACTGAACGATTTATTTTTATAGAATGGAAGGCAGGCGTGTGGAGGACGGTTTTAGGTCAGTCAAGCTGGCACGTGATTATCAGAAAGGGGAGTCATCAACAGAAGTAGCGTAGATTCGAAGTACCATCAAATCTTACCTGCCTTCAACTAAATTGTCGTAGCACCTACAATCACGCACACGCCAACAAAAATTTACCAGTGGCACTCAAGGTGAATCATCAATTGAAGCGAATTGAACCGGAAGATGTAGGATCCAAACGCGATCAAAAAATGATTCGAAACTACCCGAACCCATGATTTAGGCGACCAGACTAACCGACAAAACCCTTTAGGTGACATTCAACATTGACCTGATGTGGTAGCCGAAAGAGGTCATGCTGATCGTCTGTCCCAAAACTTGCCCGCTTGATAACTTACTCACGTGGCCTGACGAAGCCTTTGTGTCAAAAGCGAAACATTGCCCAGTTATAAAAACGAAGTCCTTCTTTAGGCTGGCGTTAGAATTTGGACTAGACCATGGAAAATGGACCATCCCATCCATACGACAATGAACTTATGGGTGGTTTCGCTGTCGCGCTCGTTCCCGTGGTATGCCCACATCCGTTCTGATGAAATACGAGCCCTGTGTCGACGTGAAATCTGGCATACTACCCGTAAAAGACACGAGATTCACTCTGAAGGTTCACAGAGAAGTAGATATATAAGTCGAATGATAACCTTTTAAAAAGAAACCTTGCTCTTTTTTTAAATCTCCAATAGATGGGTGTAGACCTTACACGAAGGCAGCCACAATCAGTAGTCAATCTGAGATAAAAATAGGTCCAGTCATGTGATTTTAGGGCAAGGTGATTAAATGGAATTCCGTTGAAACATGTGATCACCACGTATGTTCTACTGGTGGTACTGAAAACATACAAAGCAGACAAACTTGGATTAGACAACCAAACAGGATCGCTTATCCGTGAATTGCCATGAATGGCTGGTCGGCAGTGTGACTGGGTCTCCGGTCTGGAGCGTTTCTATGTTTCTGAGCGTAGTGATAATACGGGCTTCAGTTATCAGGGAGCGAACTCCAATTTCCCAGAAACGGCCTTACACATTTGAAAGGAAAACCCCCTCGGGTGCGGAACTGTTCATTCATAAACGGAAAATAAGCGATTACAAGCCATCAGACACGACAGTAAAAACTGCACAGAGTTTCTGAAAACGCCAACATCCTCGAGCGTCCTCCTGAGCTGCCTTGAACGTCGTTAGAATATTTGAAAGCGGTTCGTTAATTTCCAAATCGAAGTTCTATCAGATACGGTACTCTAAACTATGTGACCAGATACTACTCACACGTTTCATCAGTAGCACACGGGTAGGAGATCAGTCAGGCAGTGAACTGGCCGAGTTCACACGATATACAGATGAGAGATATATACTACCGTAGTGTCAAGCGAATTTAATCCCCGTTGTAGAATACTTCAACGTATTCAGGAAAACCCTCTCGTTGTAGAATACTTCGACGTATTCAGGAAAACCCTCTTGAATGACGCGTAAAATCACAAGCCAGAAATTGTAGATTCTTGAGATTTAGCAAAAGATGTGGTACTAGATGAAAAAAACACTAGATGTATTAAATACGTGATAAAAGGGGCACAAACCTCAAATTATGGGGGTTTCCGTCTAAACTGTTGCGCGAAGTAGTGCAAGTTTAAAGAAAGCCCGGAAAAGATGGCAAATCGATCTTAGTTAGCAACACGCTCCTGAGTACAACAGGTGGTACGCAAAATGATCAAAAAGTGCGCGTAAAGGATTGCCGACCAAATTGGTTCGACAAGTCAAGGGTTAAAGTTCATGAGGGATTACAAATGCATATCGAGTCTATGAGGTAGGCGCAGTAAACAGCAGCAGACAAGGGACGAGTTTGACCGGGGGAAAGGAAGTACGCCCGTAGTGTTACTGTTGTGTTTTGTCATCCACGTATATCCAGTGTGTCAACAGGATTTACGATTCACACACACAGTCGTGTGGCCAACGGTTCACTGAACACAATCAGCAGTCCGAAGCGCGAATAAACGGACTTGGCGTCTACAATTACAATGAATTTTATGCGCGCAAATCACTGGTTAACCGAAATAATTCTCAGGATGATATTTATTTTATCGGCCGCGACTAGTTGCTTTAATCCACCAGCAAAGATTGTCGTTGTTTAGTCTGTGCAATGGTGTAAACACTTTCCAACAATTTCGCGTTGTTGGATTTGTGGCCTCCGGGTAAGTGCTATGTGTTTTCTACCCCCTTTTCTCATTCGCATCACCAGCTTTATCCACGTTCATGAAACTAAGGTGGTCTTCATTATCCACTGTTGTATTCATCTGAAGGGATCCGATAGCCCGGAGGTATTGGTTTTAAGCGCTACAGTGAAATGGTTTGCTAGAGTGGTACTGCGGCTGTTCAGTGGATGTTGGTACAACGATCGACCAGGCGACATACATCTACTTGCGGCTTCCGCTACCCGGGTGATCGAACGATTCCCCCCGCGCTCTTCTTTGCTCACATGACGTCCTGGGATCTCACAATTGCCAGCTTTTCAGATTCCCACATGAATTCAACACGGTTTTATCATCGGACTGTAACTGGCTTAAGCAAAGTCAAGCAACAATGGGTTATGGCTTGTGTGCACACGCGCCGTTTCATCCAAGCAGCGTGTACCAGCAGACGGGCCACACAAATGTTCTGACAGGTACAATCAAATGTGTGTAGGCGTAAGTGATCCATCCAAGCTGTCGGTGGAGTCGAAAAGCAACAACACGAAAGCCCAGTTGTTTTGACAAGACTACGTGAGAGCAGCTCTGTCATGTGAACAACGAAATGACATGTCTATCGTATTGGGTTTGCTAGCACCACAGTTCTAGAAGAGGCGAGTCATGTGTTCGTAGAGCTCCTATGATCCAATTTTACTTGAAACGCGCTTAGGGTTATTCCGCTCGCACAATATTCGTTTTCTTCTGTTGTGGGGGCTGTTTTTGGTCACCTCATGGCCCCTGTCCACCAACGAGTTGTTCCGAAAAGAAATATTCCCGTTGGTAGAGATTTGTTCATTCGTTCAGCCGTAATCATTTCGGCGCATAGCTGCCAGGCCACTCGAAGGAAGTATGAGGGCTAAGCTACTGCCAGGTTGCCAAGCCTTGACAAGAGCGGTCGAGATGCAGAAGCCGGGTTCGAACCACGGGACTTCCGGCCCGTAAGTTCGGACCTTAAGCACTCAGATATATCGCACTGCGTAGGTAGGGGGAAGCATATTATACACGTTGGCAGCTCAGGTAGGGTAGATGGTCGTTGGCTTGTTTGCTGAGCTGGTGCGTAGAACCACTACGTTCCCCAATAACGCACTGATGATGTCACCTCGATTGGTGATGAAACGTTTACAATCAAATTGTCCAGCTCAGCGAACAAACCAACGACCATTATACACGTATTTGAATTGTGGCCCGATCAGCACAAAACTGAAGGACAAACAGCGCAACTTCAAGGACGTGTGGGTTGTGTCAGACGGATGTTGCTCGGATAAATAGCGCGGTAGCTAGCTACGAAAAGTGTGAAGACCGTTTGAATAAGAACCATCGGATCTGTTGAATAGCAAAGCAAGTATGCATTTGTATCGCCAAAACGAAGATGCCTCTTCATCGATCTCTTGTGAAACCACTGAACCCGAAACCAACGCTTTATAAGCAATGGCTAGAGTGATGTTCCTCTCAAAGCCAACTGTGTGAGAGGTTGACCTGTATTCAGTGTCCATGTTTGCTAGTTTTATGGACTATTAACAAGGTGGGGCGAGAGGGCTCAGGTGGTTAGAGCGCGAATTTATTGACCGGAAGGTCCGTGGTTCGAACTGGACCTCTGCCTCGCGACTTCTCCTGTCTGGGCTTGGGCAATCTGGCAGTATCCCAGCCTTCGTGCAACCTTCGGGTGGCATAGCAGCTAGACATCAAAAGGGTGCTACACCCACGTACACACTGGAATTTACTTGCTGGCAGTCGCAAGGTGTGCGCCTATAAGGCATTATAATGCATTACTGCGTAGAACACCGTCTGGATGAAAAGCTTAGATTCGACCAAAGGAGTAGTTATTCTAGAGATACTACTCACAAGGTTGCTGAAAACTATCTGACAGCCCACGACCGGTTTGGCCTTTCTTGGGGCTCATCAGGCAGGCGCAGTCCCCGAGTTTCTGTCAATCTTCTGTTCCAGCTGGATCGAAATTGGACCAAATTCGACAGATACACTGATTTGCATTCGAAGAACATCATAAAGCGGGAGATTCAGTTGGAATTCCAGGGAGTCTCCCGTGGAAACCAAATTGGTATGCAAATGAGCGTAGCTGTCGAGTGTGTGCTTGTTTTTCCAGCCCGGTTAAAGTTCGACCAGTTGGATTTCTGTCCATCCAGCTCACCTGCACCATGTTGAGGCTGCCTAAAAAAGGGCTGTATTCCCAAGGAACAAATTAGGAAGTACCAGATTCGTTTACTCGTCGGCCGATGTCCTTGACGAACTGTTGCGTGTAATTTTCCATGTTTTGTGTACAAGCATAGGGGGGATTTGAGCACGCGGGCACTAGTGTGTTTCCACATTGACGTCTATCTTCGTGACAGAAACGTAGAAGGGCCTACTTTGGAAATCCAAACAGGTTCTGTGATTCCAGAGCCAGTATTTTCGAAGAGCCACAGATTTGCCGTAAGGGTACTCCATCTCCGAACTGGTTGAACCATTGTGTGCGTGCATTCTTCATGCTGTTTCCCCCTTTGTGGAAGAAATTCTAGAATTGGGAGCCACTAAACCATTTGTGTATCCGTCAGGGCTGATGAGCTGAAGAAGGACGTTGACTGAACATTTTCGAGAACTGGTGACGGTTTAGTACCATTATCTCCTATGGAAGAACCGGTCAGCCCCATTCATGTTGTGGGGCATCTATACCACCTGAGGAGCCCCAAGAAGGGCGTAACCGGTCGTGGGCTGTCGAAAAGTTTTCAGCAACCTTATTAGTAGTGTATATACATGTATATGCATGTATCACGATGTCTCGAATATTGTGCCAACTGAAACATGAGGCGGCCTGGTGAAGCACATTCAGGTGCTTGGAAATACCATAAACGAGAGATTCAGCCGGGTTCCGAATGAGTCTCCCGCAAAACCAAATTTGTTTTCAAATGAGTGCATTTCACGGATGCAAGTTATTTCAAGCCTCAGAAGAGGAAAGTGTTAACCGGGTGCTCAACTAACTCCATTGTTTACGAACAGACTGAACAAAGACCGTCTCATGTTTCGGTTGATATACTATTCGAAATATTTTGTTCACACAATTGGCAATGAGCCGTTAAAGAGTTTTCAGCAGCCTTGTATGTAATGCCGAGAAAACGTCAACTTTTTTGTAATGAAGATTGCTGAAAACTCCTCGACAGCCCACGACCGGTTTCGCCATTCTTGGGGCTCATCAGATAGGCGCAATCCCCAATTTTCCGTCAACCTGATGTTCTACATGAAACCCAATTGGACGAAATTAGCGAATACACACTCATTTGCAAACTAATTTGGTTTTTTCGAGGGACTCATCTGGAACCCAGTTGCCTGGAAACATCAAAACTGAGAGATTCAGCTGGGTTCCGGGTGAGTCTCTCGCAAAACCAAATTATTTTGCAAATGAGTGTATTTCGCTAAAACGTCAACTTGTTTTTAAAGACACAGGGGCCTTGGAAACAAACACGCCAGTTGAGTAGAGACTGTCCAAGCCTGAACTAGGCGGGAAGTAGGAACGAACAACACAGTCACAACGAAAACAAGGGATGAATACAGAAAAAAAAACAGAAGACCAACTCACATGCAGTGCCAGTCGGGCACACCCATAGCCACCAGCAGCCGGATGAAATGGAAGTCGTACTCTTGTGTTCGACTGACTATCCTCTACGGCCAGTGCGGTTGCGAGGGTCTCGTTATCAGCCTTAGCGCGTTCCAGTCGAATCTATATGGAAACAACCGGATTTTATGAAAAATGCTTAACGGAAAAAGATGATAGAACGTGAATACAAACTGACTTGGGGAGATTGTTGGCTGCCTGTGCACGGCAGGCGTCCGTCAGAATGTTCCAGACACTCGGAAAGGCCAATTGAGAAGAAATCTACGAACAGATCGCTTGGGAATTCAACGCGGACACAGTACACCTCTAGACTTCTACAACTGATCGAACCAATCAGTCGTTCAGCTACCATGTCACCCAAAGGAAGCACGAGGGCTCAGATACTAAGGGGCTACAGAGAGGTCGAGTTGTCGGGGTTGGGTTCGAACTATGGATCTTCCAATCAATAAGTTCACAACCTACCCACCGAGCTATATCGAGTCTCTGTACAACCAAGCGGTGTTCTGTATGCGGGAAAACCATAGAAAGCGGCTAAATATGATTTTTATCGGTGATGAATGGGATCACAAAATTGTATACTGTACCCAAACAAAACAGACTGTATTCACTCAATATTGAGCGATTACCTGACAGAGCAGATCCACGAGAATTGTGTGTAAGTACGCGACTACTATTTTATGCAGATAGTTACTCGTAGCAAAAGTCGATAGATGGATATAAAATGCCGATCAAATAGAGCTAAACTGGAGACACGATTCATTAGTTGACACTCTCTTGTTAGAAGAGACATCACACCTAAGGTCATGGCTGGCTAGGAATGTTTCTACAGACTCTCCAAGATAACATGCCCTCTCCTGACGTCCACTGAGCAAAAAGGGAAGAGCGAGGATATTGTCGCCCGCTACTTAGTGACTTTCAATCAAACAGAAGCTTTTCTTCAATAGCTTTAACTCATCTTCTGGTTGGCATCTTTTGATGAATTTCACTTCGGGACATTATACGTAACCAACAGAAGTTGTGGCTGTTTATACACAAACTTCGGGAACGAAGGCATCACAAAGACAAACAAGAAGATACGTACTGAGCGGGCAAACGCTCAAACGCAACACGCTGGTCGAAGACATCCGAGAGAAAGACCACGGCAAACAAAAACACAAGAAAGTCCTCGTTCTCTCAAGGAGTCACGATTGTGGTGCAACAAGTGATCGAGCGTATGCTGCCACCCGGGTGACCTTGAGTTGATGAAAAGAATAAATCGATAAGCGCTGGCTTATAGCACACTTGAGTCAATTTTTTAATAGCCGGAAAACTCATGTGTTCAATCTGAGGTCCGCTATTGATGTACTACACAATCAGGTGACTAGACGAATAAACAAAGACGCGGAATGTGACGAGTAGCAGGACGCAATCGTATTGCCAACAAACCTTCAGAGCGTGATTTTGAGCCAACACCGAATCCAGAGCATCTTGCCGAGAGAGCAGAGTGTCGGTAAGTTGGCGTAGGCGAGATTCCAACGTGAGTACGTGTGCTGGATCCGTTCGTGTCACTACCATGGAGTTATTATCCGTTGCAGGTGAGGATTGGCCATCCGATGAGGATACTGGTCGCCTTGTCATCAGCTGACGCAGTCTGCCCAATTCAGACTCACTAGCTACTAGCTGCCCGTGAAGTTCAGCTCTCTGTTTGCTGGACGCATCCTCTAGGTCACGTTGGCGTTTACGTAGCACAGCCAGCTCGGAGTCTGCATCCTCACGAAGCTGAAAAATCAGAAGAGTCAGTGAGCAGGAGTTGTATAGGACAGATGAAAAATCAAGGGATCGAAACACATGAAAGGTGTGTGGTTTGAAGAGAAAACGGTTGAAACAAACGGTTGGGAGGCGAAACTCAGGGCTGTTCTCAGTAAGTCTCAGTCTTGTACCAATAGGGACAAATTAAACTCTTACTGGTCTCGATTGTACAGGAGGCGATGTTATGAACGTCCCAAAAAAGCGGGACCCTCCATCGGCCCTTTAGGTCTTAGCCCCTGGGTGAGCACGCATCTAACGATTCACTGGGGTTTTAGCCAAGACGTGACCAAATCTTGATAGGCTTATCAACACGAACGCTTTCCTCCTTATGGAAATCGCAAAGAAAGTCAGAGGGATCGGTTAGCTATTTGAACCCAGTTTCATACCAGCTCTGTGAATGCGTCTCAAAGGTTCGCATCCACCCCATGGATGTATACGCCTTTTTTATTCGAGACTTCAATTTGTGCATATCAGTACAAGATCCCATCACGGGTGGACAATCTACTTGGAAAAAAGAATCATCCCGTTAGAAAAACGTTCACAGACCTACAACTGCGGCAGAGACCAGTGGCACATAATCGCTGACGCATACGACAATAGGGACACGGTAAATCTGGAGAACGAAACGAAGCAAGAAGTTGTGCTAATAACTCGCAAATAACGCTTTGGTTAGGGTCGTACTGGCCTCCTCACCTGGCCTTAGCTCGGGGTGACACCATAGAATGTTTTCAACCCATGCTACTGAGTAGGCAGGAAACGGTTACCTGTTTTTCCCGTTCTGCTCTTTGTTCCGCTAATTCCAAGTTATGTCTTAGTGCCTCTCGTTCGGTTTGCATTTGCATTTCCAACTCCTGCATAGCCATCTCACGATGTTCCACCTCGATCCGCCAGCGTGAGGATTCTTCGTGAAGCATATCACACTCGGCGCGCAAAGTGAGTATCATCTTGCTGGATTCTGACTCCGCGGTATCCGATATCTGTGTCTCGCTCCCATTTCCAGCAGTTTCACCCCTTAGTGAAGCAATCAACTAGGAGGAGACAGAAGAGGTAGTCAGATTATGAAACCGAGAATAGCAATGTCTGCTCGATCAACAACCAAAATGGGTAAAAACACAGTGATGCGACGAAACAATCAAGAAGATAGACATACCCCAAGCCATACTTACCTGCTCCTTCATGTTAAGAATCCGAGTGGCTTTTTCCTTGTACTGAGCAAGTTCCTGCGTGATTCGGGTGGTTTGCTGTTGTGCCAGCTGAACGCGTTTCTCAGCCAATTCTGCCTGGCGTTGAAAGTCTTGCACGTTCGTTTCCATGGTGACCTATCAAAAACAGCTGGCTTGTCAGATTCTCGTGATATGAAAACACGGTGGAGCAATCCAAGGAGGGAAAGCATGATCCATTTCCCTCACAGCAAATAGAAAATTCAGGTGCCTCAGTTGTGGTACCAAACTGACGCCGAACAGACAAGCATCTCGAAAGAACCGGCAAGACTCAGATGACACGATCGCAAAAACACACATGGGAGCAGTTGAAAATTCGTGATTGGATTCTGACAAGAAAAATTGACTTCATCCGAGATGATTTTATTCCTCATATTCATCTACTACTCTAATGACCGCGGTACAAGCTGCCTGTCACGTCAGGAGTGTAAAGTGATACAGCTGCGTTGATTGGGACATGTATTGTGTATGCGGAACCATCGTTTGCCGAGGATAGGGCTGTTTTGCACGCCCAGCGCTGAGTGGCGGAAGCGGAGAGGGGTATGAAGGAAGTTACGAAACGTTTGGGTGCTGTCGCTGCTACTCACCTTTCGGGATAAGGATCACGCGATCCTCACTGCGCCTGGTTGGAGACACTGCAAAATATGACTGCCAACCGATATCAATGGCGTTCTTGTCAGTTTCTATCCAGATTACCTGAATGGGTGTCTGGAGTTGTAGGCACCTCGGAATGATGGTGGTAAGCTAGCACTAATTCCCTTCCGTCCACCTTTACTCTTTTCTTTACAACAAGGCTTTCAAATAAATCATGGTTGTACGGCAGCGAAATATCGGTGTTGCACAGTGAAGTCACGCTGTCGATGATGACGATGTAAAAAGAGATAATAACACAAAATGAGTCTTACAGCAAACTGCTCATGCATCGAAAGAATCTCTGCAGGTCGATATTTTCATGAAAAGAAAGTCGAAGTGTCCCAGACAGAGCTAGTATGGGTTTATATCGGAATAATTTCAACCCTACAGAACGATGCAACGGACAGCTGTTTCAATCAATACCCGAATTCTTCGGTACTGTACCAGGCGGGGCTTGGACAATGGCCTTGATCGTTCATCTATAACACCCTTTCCGTGCCTAGCTGCTATGCAACCCGAAGGGAGCACGAGGGCTGAGATACTGCCAAGTTGCCCAAGCCTAGACAGGGGAAAGTGAGAGGCAGAGCTCGGGTTCGAACCACGGACCTTCCGGTCGGTAGGTAAACTTGCGCTCTAACCACCTGAGCCATCTCGCCCCATGGTCTTGAACTGAAGGTGGATTAACTGATTGTGCAAGGAATCAGCATGTCATACTATCTGGGGAGATCGTAAGCCATGAAGACGAGAAATCTGCTCACGGAGCATCATTTGCCCAGTTCAGCGTGCAGGTCAAACGGCCAACTAACTGGACAAGCTACGCCACCGACACTCTCTTCCATAGGATTCCAAGTCTGGATGTAAGTTGGACAAAAACCACAAGTGATGAACCTGTGTGTGTGAAATAATACCGTGGATGTGAAATCCCGTACAATCAGTCTTTTAGCAATCCATGTTTGTTTCTTTGAAGGTGTAACTTGACATGCATCAAAAGCTATATATGAAACACAAACGCGACTCGCCCTTCATAGGAAACACTAAACGGGGCTGTCTAAACTGCTCCGGACTCCATCATCGACAGCATGACACCAGTGTTCAACACCAATGCTCCCGAATTAGGGGACAACTTACTGGAAAGTGTGGCTCACAGTGAAGGCAGACTCTAACAACCTTGGGGAAAACTGTGTTGCTCAGCCCCTATACGCTTACATGTGGATTAAAAAAAACACAGAACCGTTAAATAGACGGGGTGTTACTATCAGGCCGGGATATTCACTGCATTGGTTTTTCCTTTGGGCTCAAAAAGCCATCGTTGGATCTTCAAAAGGCATCGTCGCATAAACCATCTTCTTCTGAGCATAAGGGCCTCCAGTTCATTCAATTCTTGATATGTATAGTGTATTGTTTGAGTTACGTGAATCAGTACGTAATTTTCAGATAATGTAAGCTCTAATTTATGCGTTATACCTGGATACGGCTAGCGCCGTATGCACTCAAAATCACTCTAGTACTCTGACCTGCACCGATACCATGCATGACCTTGATCAATTTTGATCGACAAAGAAACGGTTTCATGAAGAGGCCATCGGTGAAATCACCGTATTGTCACAGATGGAAGAAACAGATGATCAAACTAGGCACTACTTGACCCGCGTGAGACGAGTCAAGCAAGCAACATCAGATCGAGGTCACAGATGTGTGACTGTGTCAACCACTCCTGTTCGACAGGCTATATGCATTCGCAAACGGCACCCTTTAAGGTTACCGGGAGATTTCGCTAGCATTGCAACTAAGCTGTCTTATGAAACGGGAATATTGCGCTACTCTTCCCCGAACCATATATGGGGGGAATCATCTGTCCAAGGGAATTTCCGAATCGGTTGTAATCAATGACTTGCCACTTCACAAACTCCAAGTGAACTGGCATGGTTTATCAGCCTGACGGGGAACTACGACTCTGCTGAGTTCTATAATGCAATATGGATGCTAATTTGACTTCAGTGAAAACAACCGAAGGTTCATTCAAACACGATACCACAGCGAAGGCGTTCTCAGGACAGGAATGACTGTCTATCCAAGTCTTACTGGGATGTACCCATAGGTTTTCGATCGACTGATGATTCGGCGAGTCACCACCTCGATGATACACCTATAAAACGCACAACGAAATTATCCGCCATTAGTGTATGAAGTGGGGTTATCTTTATCGTCGTAGTACACTACTCATAAGGCTGCTGAAAAGTCCTCGACAGCCCAGGACCGGTTTCGCCCTTCTTGGGGCTCATTATCTAGGCGCAATTCCCGAGTTTTTGTTAACCTTATGTCCTCAATCATAAACGAGATATTCAGCTGGATTCCAGATGAGTCTCTCACAAAACCAAATTTGTTTGCAAATGAGTGTAGTTCGCTAATTTCGTGCAATTTGGTTTCAAGTAGAGCATGAGGTTGACGGAAACTCGAGCATTGCGCCTATCTGATGAGCCCCAAGAAGGTCGAAACCGGTAGTGGGCTGTCGACGAATTTCCAGCAACTTTACGCCTATACATGTATCGCGATATCTCGAATATCGTACCAACTGAAACATGAGGCGGCCTGGTGTAGCCACAGTTGTTTAAGAATAGCATAAGCGGGAGATTCAGCTGGGTTCCAAGTCTCTCACAAAACCAAATTTGTTCGCTAATTTCGTGCAATTAGGTCTCGAGTAGACATAAGGTTGACGGACATAGCAATCAAGTCGGAATTTACCATTGTTAAATGGCCAGACGAAACAGCGGGGCGACATTGATTATGTCTGTTAAGCGGATTTCCTCACTGAAACCGTCTTATCGCAAGCAGTTATGGCCGAACGGGGTATTCCGCACGCGATTGGCCAGAGGGTAGGGCCACTTGCAGGTTCAGCATCAAGGCGAGTTCTGACTGGTCGAAAATGGTGAACTCAACAGCCAATCATGATCCAGTGTCTGTTGAAAGCCGGTCGTCAGTGTCTCAAACTGTCCAGAAACCATCCGTCCCTAATAACCGAACATCACATCATTTGGACGGATGTGCCACGTGCAGGACACGGACTAAAACGAGGGCGTGCTCTGATTGGTCAGAATGCCGGCCAATCCGGATCGAGCGTGTTTGACTCGACGCTTCTCGTCCCCTCACGGTGATTCTAGCACGACCTTGTAAAACACTGTGATTACCCTATAAATATAGATGTAATGATTCTCCTTTTGTCTCCATAAAGGACTGTGTAGAGCCACTGTGCCTTTTGATGTACCATAGTGGACGGAGCAGGAAGCCAAGGGACCGATACAGAGTTGCGCTACCGTTCGGCAAGACACAACACATCCAGAAGGAATCACAATTTTCAGAATGTTGTCGCCGCATACAGTGTATAAACGACGCAGTGTATATGTGACTTTTACCTGGTTTCGAGGCACCTTTGGTGTTTCTTTTTGACGAGAACGCTAGCTTGGAAGGTTTAGACCGAGAACTCAGCTGAAAAATTATCGTTATTACATTGTCATTGTTGGGGGGTGGTTAAGTAGTGTATGCATACAACCTGAACAATGAGTGCAGACTCAGGCGGCGGTAACGATTACCTGCACTTCACCGATGCACTATAAGCGTGACCTGGCCAAAACGTTGCACCATCGAGCCCGAAAAATGTGATCCATGAGGACACAGTTCAAGTTCAAGACACACTCTCGAGTCTTACGACCATCTCGAAGTGTTCACTAAGAAACACAGTGGAAGGCGGCAGCAACGTCCCTAGACCTCACATTCTCATCAACCTATCGTTTGAAGTGGATGACCTAGGTGAAGTGGTACACTGGTAGAAACGGTTCAGAGGACCAGGTCAGGTTCTGTATAAAAGATTAATCGTGTTCCGGTGCCACAATTCGAATTTCCATTTTCATACTCTGCCATATCCAACATCTACTGATCTACGTATGGGTGCATGATCACCTATCTGGGAAGAATGAAACGGCAACTAAGCCTGAGGGTGGGGTAGCACACATCGTTAAGAGTACGACAACAGTGGAACTGATCAGATGCAACGACCGTACATCGGAGGCAATCAGGATCACATTGCTGGTCTTGTCAGTTGTTCGTCATCAAGCATCGTACCGGTTCAACGACTGCATCCGATACCGTGCCCAGCACAAGTAAACAGTAGAGTTCTGAAATTTGCGGAGGTCACTGGTGTTCAGATCTGTGTGAACAGAGACAACTCGTCGCTCCGTTGCCATTAGCGTGATAAACTGCAAAGCAAGCCTTTGGTGTGGTAATTTTTCGCTTTTTTAACAATTCATTTGTTACTGGTACGCCCCTGATGAGAGAGTGAAATAAATTCGCAAAAAAGCATAACACTTCGAACACCGTTCGAAAACGCTCCCTTCGTTTGGTTCCCCGAATGCACTCAACAAGATAGTAGTTGTGTTTGTTAAACATCAGAAAGAGGGAAGCTTCTCCGTGGGATGAAAGTAAGACAGGGCGGGGCCTGTGGTGAACAGATTGTAGTCAGGATTCAGCGAATCAACCAATCACATTTAAGCTGGTTTGGTGCTTATTACAGACCGTTCTCCAGGAAGGTAGAACGGTGAGAATGCTTCACGCAACATTATATATATAAGGATCACAGCTTAGAGGATATGAGTGTGCGCTTCGTACATTAACAGCCAAAAACAGAAGAGCGGAACCGAAAACACTTCTAGGTCGCTTCTTGTGTTACCTGGATACTTCTACATATCACAACAACAGAACAATGAGCGTAGTAAGTGCTCTCTACACGATCATTCCAAGACTATGCAGGACCCGAGAGTTCAAGCTCTCAGCTTACAAGCTACGCTGATAAAAGAATGGTGTGGAATAGATTTCATCGCCCTCGTTTACGATATGCTCAATGAAAACATGACAACTCAAAGAGTAGTGTTGGAGCATACAACAATATCCGCAATCTAGGGTGACATTGGGAGGCAAATGGTGTTGTGCAACACACGACTGCAATCAGGAGAGTACCAGGGCACTGTGCATTAACGATCAAGGTCCCATGAAAGTAAATTTGACAAACAATGTTGTTATGGCTGCCAAAGGGGAACTGCCGGGGACTAATACTCTCTCCGATGAGCAGCTCAACCTTCAATCGTCTTTCAACTGATCCTGAATGGTGGTGCAGTGAGATGAGCTCAAAAAAGTCCAATCACCAAGTCAAGTGGCAGCTTCAGGTGGGGAATGACGTCCCAAATTATTTGCAAAGCAATGTTGGGGTGTTGCGGGATAGGTATTTTGTTCATAGCCACATCACTCTCGTTTGAACAATCGCCCTCCTGTTCTGGCGTAATTATTCCGGTGATTCCACAGGGGGGGGGAAGCACTGGACTCGAGTTTCGCTCTTATTAGAGCTCATCAGCAATGCATATTCAATGGCCGTGCCGGGATTTGAACCTCGGTCATCTGACATGCGAGGCGAGCGTGTAACAACCACTCCACTGATGTACGTTGGACGTCTGAACAGGCGAACGTGTTCACACTTGAGCGATGTCACTGGTGCACCCGACTGATCGAACGACGACCTAGTAACTGTCCTGGTTGTGACGATCGACTGACCTGCCAGTCAGGACTTCCCAGTCAGGTAGCGTGGTACACCCTACCAAACATAGTTCGCATTTGTTGTATTTGTGCGCAATATCAGAAAAACTGGATGCTAGGTTGCAGTTTCTTCCACTCACGAACCTTTCCAACAGTGTGAACAGTGCCCACCCGACCCAAACAGGTCGTTCCCTGGCAAAGACCAAACAAGACTCGTTGTATAGCATGGGAGGTGGTGAACGGCAACAGTGGGGACAATGAATTACCAAAGCTTCCTGTTTCACCTCAAGTTGCCGCCGGGCATCGTTCAGTTCGGATTCCATCATCACAAGCCTTGAGTTCAGGGATTCCACGTTCGTGTCGGGGGTGGAAATTTCCAGCTCCTTCACTCGAACTTGCAGTTCCCGCAGGCGAGAATCCGAATCACGCAGCTTGTTTTCCAGGCGTTCGGTCTGGCGACAGAAATATAACACGAATGGCTGTTAGATAGAGCACAAACTAAACAATGGACATCGGTAAGAATCCAGCGAATTGGCTCGTAAAAAATCGTTCAGTTGTAACACCCTACCGGTGCCTAGATGCCATGCTCCTAGAGGGAAGCACAAGGGCTGGGATATTAGCAGACTGCCCAAGTCTAGACAGGGGAAGTCGAGAGGCAGAGATCGGATTCGAACCAAGGACCTTACGGCCAATCAATTCGCGCTCTAACCATTGAGACATTTCACCCCCAATGGACTTGTAGGCTGTTATAAAGTCTAATTAATAAGTAAAGTTAGGGAGAATAACACGGACCATCAGTTCTCGGTGAAATATATATTAACTTCTATCCGGAACTATGACTGGAGTTTATCACGAAGAGTGTACAAAACAGCTTGAGGTTGTACACGGCGTGTGCTAATTACACCCAGATTACTGCGGATGGGATCTGGCTGTAACACCAATGTGTCTTCAGGTTTGGAATGAAGAACTGACCTCCTGATAACGGGGGGGGGGGGGGCCCGGAATTAGTCAATGGTGGTAAACCAGTCGCGAGCACATAGCAGCCCGAGGGGGTAAGTTTTAGTCTAATCGATCAGCACTTGGTAAAAACAACTCAAATGTTCAAAGATAACCGGGGTTAACAGCAAAGTCAACGGCCTCTTTTCCCTACAGGGAGATTCTCATGTATACCTGAATGAAATTGGTCTCCCGTTCCTAAGAACAAGGGGGGGGGGAATCAAACCTTACCTGTCCTCGTAATTCTTTATTCTCTTCCGTTGCTTTGTGGTTTCGTCTGAGCAAGTCAGAGACTTCTTGACTCAAGGAAGAGACTTCACTACGAAGAATCTTGTTCTCCAAAATCAAATCGCTCATGGACTGACGCGACTGAGTGACCTTTGTATGACTTGGATTGAGGAAGGATTCATGTGAATTCGTTGTGCCACCAGCCTCAGTGACGATCAGTGGTTGGCTATCGGGTTCGGGAATCTTGTCCACAGGCATTGTTTGGTACCCGCTACTGGCTGTGCGCACATCAGCGTCTACAGAAGATGGACCAGAGGTTGTGTGAAGCTCCGTAGTGGTAGGGACCGAGAGAAGCTTCGTAGTTGAATCATTCAGAAACGTGAAAGGGTCCGAACGAATCCGTTCATCGTCAGTTGACGGTTTCTTGGGAGTCCTGTGTTCAAGAAATCAAACAGAAGAAATCTAGGATAAGGTCTGCACCATCAAGGAAGCAGAATAACGGAGCCGCTGGCTCGGACGTATCAATACGTCACAGAATCGAAGCCAGTAAAATTTACAGTGTAGCTGACGCAAATCAAACACATATTGGAGAACGGATGAGATGTGAAGGCTACATTATTGATCGGCACATTCTGTTTGTAATTCTGCGCAGGCCTATTGCAAATGTGCTCAGCAGCTGTGCTGGACAGCACTGAGACGAGGCGCTATCTCAACTGACATCCTCGCGAACACAATGTTCTCCGTTCAGCCAGAAATCAGAGATCCGTAGAGGTAAACCAATGGGTCAGTGCTACTGATGAGTCCCACCAAGGGTGAAGGGCGTTGTGCGACCGAGTTTTGGAAATCGGACCACGACCGGCCGAAATTCTTAATCCATGGCTAGTGGAATATGTCTAACAAAAATTGACCGTTGGGTGCTTAGGTGAAGATCCACACCCTCTAAATCAAATTTATCGGCTAAGCAAGAGTGATCAACGAACACGTGATCCTGAGGTCGACAAACTGTGACTAGTGAATAACGCCCAAAAATAGGCATGACGCTGTCATACGACGTCGAGTAGGGGGTTCCCTGTGTTGTAACTGGTGGACGATCGTGCAACTCTGTATCGGTCCCTTGGCGTCCTGCTCCGTCCACTATGGTACATCAAAAGGCACAGTGGCTCTACACAGTCCTTTATGGAGACAAAAGGAGAATCATTACATCCGTATTCACAGGGTAGTCACAGAGTGTTCCACAAGGTCGTACTAGAATCACCGTGAGGGGGCGAGAGGCGTCGAGTCAAAGATGCTTGATCCGGATTGGCTAGCATTCTGACCAATCAGAGCATGCCTTCGTTTGGTTCGTGTCTTGCACGTGACATCCGTCCAAATGATGTGATATTCGGTTATTAGGGACGGCTGGCCTCCGTACACCCTGACTACCAACAAAACCCCTTACCGAAACTAATAACGTCAGAAACACTACGATAACACAGAATGGTTCAACGACATAGGAAGAACATGGATATATCACGGAGACATCAAAATAAGATCGAATGCAGTAGTGAAAATGTAGACTCAGATGGATGCCTAAAACGACAAAACTATGAAAAATCTATCCAGGACAGTGAGACGCGCACAATGCGAACCGTAGTGAATAAAGGCGCGGAAAATGTGTTCTCTGTCGCGAGAAAAAAGCATGTTCCAATTAATCAGGAAATGACGAGAAGCAAACCGTTTCCTTGATTCAGTATACGTTCACTTTGAAAGATGTCATAATGACGGTTAAACTCGAAAAACTTACGTAGGGGTACTTGCCCGGGGGAAGGTTGCAGAAGTGGAAAGTCGTTTCTGAGATTCCGGAGGGAAAACATGTTCTTGACGTCTGTCGGAATCCGCATCAAAGGTGGGAATGATAATGGGATAATCGGAGGTTTGCGATCGACTTTCCGAGGGTGTGGTGTACACGCCATCTTCATCATTGCGAGGACCAGCAGTATGTCGCAGCGGTGAGGACTTTAGTGCATCGGCAGCGGTACTATCTATGGTGTTGAGCAAATTCTCTGCCTTACTGGCCAGGCCAGTCAGCCAAGACATCTGAAGAGGGGAATATAAAAGCTGACCGCCTATTGAACCCGAAACCAGTAACTGAAGGTTACGCCAGATACAATAAACCGGAAAGTCGCACACGCACACAGCACAAGTGGAAGATAAAGAAAGATTTTGACCGTGCACGGTGTCGTATACAGATGCAACCCTCAGGAGAGATTACTTCTCTCCAGAGACCACTTTTCAATGATTTGTTCAGCTTGGATGACTGCGCCATCGGCTCATTCAAACTAGAGGTTCATATTAACGCAGATGAATAGGTCACTCGGTTCACTTACAAGCCTAGTAAGAAGAAAAAGTGTGAACTCCCATTGAAAGGTTGCTAATTTAGGATGAGACCGCAGATAATACAAGCTGAGGTCAACCGGACCATCCACGTGATAGACAAAAGGTCGCCAACACACGATTCCTACCATGAGCCTAATTTATTAGTTCTATGTAGCCTCATTTGACGCGCACTTGAAGCTGATGGAATTCACTCATGCCCATACATACACGTCACTCCTGTTGGGATATTCCTCCACTTGTGTTGGTACGAACAATGTGGTTCTTAGGATCTCTTATCATTAAGTGTCCTCGGCCATGGTGTGTCCGGTATTCGATGTTCGGTTTAATGAATTCATCGGGTAATTCTCGATTAGGGCTGAAAGATGCCGAGTCTACATGGTTTGGAAACCCAGAGGACAGAGAGAAATGCAGAGCCCCATTAGGTAACCCTGTCCTGTAACGAAGCGAGATGGCCCAAGTTGTTAAGGGTGCGAATTTACTGACCGGAAGGTTCGTGGGTCGAACCCGACCTCTGACTCTCGACTTCCCCTGTCTACGCTTGGGCAACCTGGCCGTATCCCAGCCCTCGTGCAACCTTCGGGTGGCATGGCAGTTAGGCACCGGAAGGGTGCTACAGCTGAATGATTCTTGATTTTTACGGTCGAAATCAGACAAACAAAAGTCCAGAACTCTAACAAACGTCTGGTCATTGTAGCTTTCGTAGACCCGAAAGATTTCCACATTTATCCCGATTAACCTTAGAAGACTGGTCGAGTGCCGGACAAACGAAAGCAATGATAATCTCTATTGGCATGATCAAAAATGAGAAAACAAAAGTCCAGCTGTTAAACTTCTGTATTAGTCATATTATTACTAGCGGGCGAAACTGATATGAGAGGGCTTTGTGTGTTAAACAGTGCGCAAAAGGCGAGAAAAACAGTAATCAAATACCGACAACCAAAAAAAAACAAAGAAACTCTGAAAGGCACCCGGATTTGTTCGGTTTAGAGCACAAAACGGGATGAACGAGGACCAAATCGAGTTGATCAAGTTGAGGTATCACAAAAAGGGCAGGGAGAGAGAGTGAGTAGAAAGATGGCAAATGCTGCAACAATCTGCATGTGGGGGGAGGGGGAATTGATATTGCGCGTGCACAACAACTAACGGCAATGTTTAGCCAAAGGGATCGAATAGACAAAGAAGAGATGATTTGACAAAATGGGCAAATGAATCACTTGCAGAACGGTGAGGGGAATTCCTAGGCAACACGGTGAAGGCGACCTGGATGGAGGTGGCGGGCATAGAGTGTAGGCAGCATGGTCATTTCATCATATACTTCGCAGCGGCCATACCGATCGAGGTCTGAGACGGACCGATCGATTCGCTGGGGGCAGGTTTTCTGAAAGGGAATATTAGACGAAAGTTGAAACTAAGAGCCAATATTCATTGAATCACGGCAGTCATTGGTACACAATAAGTCGGTTTGACAACCTCTTCGATGTGTGCAACTCGAAGAGAGCGGAGAGACAGGGTCATGTCGGTTAGGTTCGAACCATGGAACCTGCCGATTAGTGGCCCATACATTAAGAGCTGAGCCATCTTGAGCCCCAATCGGTGTACGGTTGTGAGAGAGAGAGAGAAAGAAAGGGAGATGAAACAGGTGGGCTCGAGCAGTAATGGAGGGCGGCTTTGAAGGCTTCCCTCATGGAAAACAGAACGTTACAAAATCTGGCAAGCCGATTTTCTAAAGGCAAGGTCAGAGGAATTCCGTGTTAGAGCCCACAAATATTTGAACAATAAGTAGGAATAGAGGCTATGTTATTTCCCAACCAAAACAACTTGTGTTCAAGGACAGACGTGAAGAAATTCCACACTGTATACACACGTCCACTGATAAACAGGATTGGAACGTTTGACCGTTGCTCACTAGTCAACGTTGAAGACAAGTGTGGCCATCGTGATCTCAGTACAAGATAACAAGGAACAGAAATTCCATTCGACATCTTCAAAAGAAGGACTCACCACCAAGAGAACGATTAAACTGTTGTGGTGCTTACACCCCGTGTAACGTGGTGTCGACCACGTACTAGCCAGTCTCGTAGACGCGGTCAAAGTGTGTGCCGGTGCTGCAAGACATCTCAACCTACTTTTGGTTAATCAATAAAATTCCATACGCAGTAGCAGGGCGCGCAGCTACGCGATTGCACTTTATGTGCAATGTGACAACAGTCCTATTATCTGTTGTCTCGCTATGCTAGGCCTAGGCTTGCTGTGCCAAGACGACCGACCGAAGGCTTAACCGCCCCACTGTGCAAGGAACAAACAGACAGCACGTGAGAGAGATTTGATGAGTCAGCAATGAGCAGGGCTTGGAAGTCACCAAGTCAACTCCAGAGGCCTGGCCTAAAACGGTGCGCCATTATCGGTCACAAATAACAAAGGCGTTTGAAGCTGAAGGGTAGGTCTGAGTTCTGCGGAATTTTGGCAACCAAGGTGTCTCTCTTCGCTCAGCAAAGCACTAAAATATGGTCAAAACACCACCCAAATGTTCCACTTGGTGGGAATCAGCCATAAACTTCCAATATTCGGCAAGGCGCGTTGCGGCACACACTGGAGATTTGACGATTTCCGAAACCTCTACGTCTCCGATTTTTCCATCAAAAACAAAACGGCATAGGAATCCAATCGCTGCGTACGACGCGAATTTCAGTTCGTAAGCGCGCTAGAGAAAGGACAACCGGAAAGTCTGGTGCACAGGTCACAGTAACGGCAACATCACAGTGCCAATAAAAGACAGAGTGCACAGAATCCTGTTCCTTCAGTCATGTCAGAAGCGGATTTGAAAAGCGATGACAGTCGCAGGTGAAACCATGTGATAGAGCAGCAGTAGTTGTTGTTACAGTGACTGCCAACTCGAATCTAGAATCGATCAAACGGTCATCAGTGGTCGATGTTTCCAGCATAAGATTAAGCGATTCTTGCGATGGAAAAAATCCACTGGTGTCAAAATTGCGCAAAGAATCGAACGAAACGGTGTGAAGCCCAGCAACGGTTTCATCCGTTTCGACGCGTATCAAATAGGTCCAGTCCCCAGATTTCTACTCAACAGGTAATTTGTGATATATACTCATTTGCGAATCAACTTGGTATTGATGGGTGACTCAGTTGAATCTCGCGATTATAACCTGATTCAACTACAAGTGTCCCACGAAGATCGTCCCCTGTTGACGCTAGAACGATATACAAGACAACAAAGCAGTTCGGCTCACACGACACTACTCATGAAGTCCCCGGCCCCCAGTTGGGGACTCATCCGGTAGTGTCACACGAAGGAAACCACGGAATATCGTGCCAACATGAACGTAAGGCGGTCTTTGTGCAACATATAAGTTGTGCAAACGAGCGGATCAGCTGACATTCGGCTAACACTC